TCTAGTGTTATAATTATGAACTTTCTCAAAACATACATAATCACTCTGGTTTTCCTTTACATATACAAGATTTTGAAATATGAAAATGCAAGGGACAGTCATTATATTGTAATCAATAAAACATTGCTTACAGTCATCTTGATAAGGTAGATTGGCTAAAATCCTTACTGCTTTTCTTTGCCAAGCAAAAACATGGATAGCACCTCTACTATTTCCCCAGAGCATTGTGGCATACAGCAAATGGGAATGAAAATCACTAAAATAAGTATTTAATAACATATTTCTACCAACACATTGTTGTAGCTTACGTAGCAAAAAACAAGCCCTTGAAAGTTTTGAAACTACTGAGTTGGTGTGAGATTCCCATGTAAGCTTCTGATCTAAAGTGACCCCTAGTAATCTAACAGGCTTACAATCTTCCTCTGAGTCTAATTTTTTCAAAGTAAAACAGATTGTTTCAGTCTTGTTGGCATTGACTGTAAGGTGGTTAGCATTAAACCAAGAACTGGCTAATTCCATTACTCTGTCACTGTGTGCTTTTACATTTTTTAACACTTTATCGGTAACAACAAAAGAAGTGTCATCCGCATATAGAATGGTTTTACAAGGAATATTGCTAGGCAGATCGTTTATATAGATAAGAAATAAAAGTGGACCCAGAACTGACCCCTGTGTAACCCCTGCAAGGACCTCCTGAAAAGAGGACTCAATGCCTGCCGATGAAACCTTGTGCAATCTACCACAGGGATAAGTTTTAAAGAATTGCATCTGCTTATCATCTATACCATAAAATGTTAGTTTGTTTAGAAGGGCTTCATGTGATATACTATCAAAGGCCTTGCTGAGGTCTACAAGAGTCATATTAACATAATCACAATTTTCAAAGCTATTAATAATACCAGTTACAACTTCATTTAATGCCTTAGTTGTGGAACGTCCAGGTCGAAAACCAAATTGGCTACTACTTAAAACATTATGTTGATCCAGAAATTCTAAGAGTTGGTTCTTAACACATGATTCTATTATTTTTGAAAATACAGATACGATACATATTGTTCTATAGTTATCAATACATGACCTGTCACCCTTTTTGAAAAGCGGTATACTCTTGGACATTTTTAAACAATTAGGAAACAAGGAGCAATAAAAGGAAAGATTGATCAAATATGTCAAAGGTGATACAATATTAGCTGCAATATGTTTGATAACTCTGTTACTAAAACCAAAAATATCTTCACTCTTAGATGGTTTCAGAGATCTCATTATTTTAAGCACATCAAGCTCACTAACATAATGCAACTTAAATTTATCAGGAGGCTGGTCTACATTGTTTAGAAAGGTGAAATAACTCAAATTACCTTTATTAGTTAATTTAGTACTATCAAGCACCTTTTTCCCAATACTTATATAGTAATCATTAAATTCATTAGCTGAAATAGGTGGGATTGGATTTTCCCGCTGATAGTAGTTACCAGCTTCTGATTTAATTACTTGCCATGCAGCTGAACACTTATTCTTAGAACTTTTTCTTCTGCTTTCATTGTGCATGATTTTGGCTTCCTTTATTTTAGACCTGTACTGGTCTACATTGTTTAGAAAGGTGAAATAACTCAAATTTCTTTTTTTCTTTGTAGTAGTTCTTCATTGTCATGTTATTTTTATAATTTGGTATCTTTAATAGATCCTGCAACAAAATTACTGTGTTTCTCATTCTTCTTAAGCTATGGTCAAACCATGAAGAATTATGTCTAATTGGTTTTCTTTGTTGAACTTTTTTACTCTTTGTTGGACAACAGCTATTATACACGGTTGATAGTTTAGTTACAAAGTATTCAAATGCAAAATTAACATCCTCAATACCATACAACAAGTCCCAATTTAATATGGAGGTTGCTTCAATAAACTCATGCAAAGTCTCATCATTTAGTTTCCTATATGAAATATTTACAGATTGGGAAACAAAGGTAGGCACATTAAATTCAAAGTAAATAATCGAGTGATCTGAGATCCTGTCCTTCCATATACATGTTTTATAAAGACTATCATCTAAATCAGTAACTATATTATCAATACAGGTTTTGTTTCTAGTTGGAAATTTATTTACACATTTGAGGTTAAATGACTTTAAATGGTTAACAAACATTACAGTGTCTTGGTCCACACTCTTTAAGATGTCAATATTAAAATCTCCCCCAAGTACAATTTTGCATTTAGGTTTTTTTCTTTGCACGTAGTACAGAAGATTGTCAAGATAATCCAGAAATGTTTTACAGTTAGAGTTGGGAGTTCTGTAAACAGATATGAACACCACATTAAATATATTTACATATATACAAACAGCTTCAAGGATACCAACTTCCGTTAAATGACCAATATTGATCACCTCAAAAGAAATGTCATCCCTAACAAGAATAGAGGCACCTCCATAAGCATTCTCTCTACAAAATGAAGAAGCCATTTTAAAACCTACTGGAACATATAAGGAGACTTCTAATCTGTGCAACCAGTGCTCGTTAATGAGGACAATATCACATTTAGCATCATCTAAAACAACAGCTAATTCATTCAATTTATTTCTTATAGACTGGGCATTTAAATGCAACACACGGACACCAGAATCAGTTGGTTTTGATTTACTTATCTTTGGGATACCTGCTAAATTACATACAAGTCTGCTGTTTAAACTACAATTAAAATTAGTGCTTAAGCTATCAACCTCACAGTGCATCAAGTTGTTAGATGGTGCACTACCAGTGGAGCGTTTCCCGATGTAGGTCCTTCTGATGACTGCTTAGGGCTTGATATGATGTCTATCAGTGCTGATTGCTCACTGATGGTGATATCCTCCGTTGCCGGTGACGATGACGGAGTCTGTCTTGCCTTTGAGGTTGCTGCTATCCTTATCTTGTCTGCTAGCCAAATTTTTCCTTTTTGGTTTAAGTGCATTCCATGTCTTGTATGGAGGTCTCTACTAGCTTTGCTGGCTTCCACCAGAGTAACATTGTCAAGTTCTTCACAAATACCTTTAAGAATCACATTAGTTTTTCTTGTTTCCACATTCACACAAGACCATTCTACCAAGTCATATCGATTAGGAAGATCAACCAGAATAACTTTTTGTTTATGGTATTTTTTTAAAGTCTTAGTTATGGAGTCAATGGCCAAGTGTGCTTCGTTACAAGATACATCATTAGTGCCACAGAGAACTACTAAAAAATCATTGTCTCTCAAGTTTTCTCCATCGATGTTCTTATGATCTAAAACCTGATCGGCTCTTCCCCCAGGTTTAACAAAGCCAACTGGTTCATATGGCTGTTTATTTTTGTTAATATACCATGTCAGATCCTTACCATGGCTGTCAGAGCAAAGCAACATTTTTGGATTTGGAACTTTCTCACCTCCATTATCAGTGTTGGAGGTGTCAGTGGTGATGCTAGGTCCTAGATCTTCCTCTATGGGAGAGAGCGCTTCAAAGGGATTTTTGGTTGCAAATGAGGGCCTATTAGTGTTCCTCATCACTGAAGTTTTCCTCTCAGACGATGTACCACCTTTTCTGTAGACAACTTAACTGAAATCAGAGTGAGAGTTGCTGGACGTGTCTGATTTTGGAGTATGGACCAGTGTGGTCTGAACCTTGTTGGTGAGGGCAGGAAAACATTTCAGACATTTTGACAAAGAGTGCTCTTTGGCATTTAATTTAGTTTGTAGCTCTGTGTTGTCTTTCTGCAGCACTTTCGTTACTTCCTCCAAACTTCTAATTGAGAACAACATTTTGGTCACTTCATCCTTGTTAATTTTGCATGTCTTGCAATGATTTTGATAGTATGTAGCCTAGCATTCTTTCTGTATTCCTCCCTTTCTTTGTCACAGAGTTGAATAAGGTCTTCTTTCTGAGTTTGCTCTTTTTTTAGTCTAGCTTTTAAACCAACAATTTCTTCATTAAGTTGTTTTTCTATATCATCACATTTTTGTTTCAGTTCTTCTATTTCCTCATCTTTATTCATAATTATGTCCTCAAGCTCCAACTCACGGGAAGATTTACTGTTTTTAGTGTTGTATAATTCTTGTTTTAAATCTTCATTTTCGTTTAGAAGAGCTGTCCCAATTTCGGCAGCAATGGACAAAGAAACTTCTAAGTCAGTGTTTTCAACTTCTACAAGATCATTTATATTTTCTTCAGTGGACTCTTGCTGACAGGCTGGACATTTCCAGTTTTCCAACTCTTCTTTATTGAGATCTTTGACTAACGAATATGTCAAGTTAATACATCGCAAGTGCACCCTACTTTTACAGAACCCTGTGCAATATATAGCACCATGACGAACGAACCTTCCACATTTACAACATTTGTTGATCTCAAATAAACTTGATCTTAATATACTACGATTTTACCGTTTGGTGTACATTTTAATACGTTGTAAGAAAGGGGATTAACCCCGTACCCACGGTGCTCATCTAAGCAGACACCAGATATATCATAAGTTATATGATATATATGATATATGATATACGATACATCATATAAAATTCCGGGGGTAAAAATCCGGGCCGTACATTTTGAGCTGACCTCTTCATATATCTGGCCAGGGGGTAAAAATCCGGGGGGTAAAATTCCGTGGGTAGAAGACCGGGGGTAAAATTCCGGCCCGTAAACTCTAGGTTTTTTATAATTTGACGTGTTCTGATTAAATTCACAACCGTAAAAATATACGTTTATTCCGCGTTTAATCCATCGAACTGATGTCGCAAACTCAAAAGTTCGCGGTTGGAATTTTACCCCCTGGTTTGTGACGTCACGTTCGCCCAGGGAGTAAAATTCCAGGGGGATAAAAATCCGCTACCCCCGTCAAAGAGGATGGGTCTAATAATCTACGTTTACAATATTTATCTTTGGGTATCTTCCTATAATTTATCATGCTTAGACATGTTTTGTTAAACATAAAACAAATTGCAGCAGCCTAATTCTTACCAAAAATTGTTATTTCCTTTTTTATTTTCAGGAAGATGCAGATTATGAAAGCGGTAAGTATTTACGATTAAAACACCATTTTAGCCAACAAGTCAAATATAACATTTACAGTTTACTTGTTTATTTAGGTATTGTATCACTCTGTATTTCGTAAGTTAGAATGATATGAGTAGTAATAAATCCAGCTACTCCCTCCCCCAATCATGAAAATAAACACACACCACTAAACCCAACCACAACAACCCGACCGACGAACCTCGAACCACAACCACAACATGGTTCTCTCTCTCAAAAACAACACCCAACCTACCTTGCCCTAATCAACGGCTGCGGCAGAATAGTTATTAAACTTTTTCGTTATTTACACGTATCTGCCGTGGCCACAATCCTTTCCCTGGTTGAAGAGGTCGTAGTCCTGAAAAAGCCTCAGTCCATTAGGGTTTCAGAGCCCTGGACTGGAACTTCACACAAAAAATATAACAACCTTTAGTCAAACTAGATTTATTATCTACAATTGTTAGGATATATTTGAGAAATTGTGCTGTTTATTTGTGTGATTTATTATATTTTTAGTAAACCTCTGGGTTATATAGATATTATATTATAATTGGGAACGTTTAAAATAATGGTAAAAAGATATATTGATTAAATTTATTAAAATAATTTTACTATGTTTTATAATAGAGCTATTACCAACGGACGTCTACGAAATCATCGAATTTCACCTTCATGGTGATCCTGTTGGAAACCCTGTCTCAACCGATTTTAAAACTGATCAAAACCTCAAGCTCAAGTGCCAACAATACAACAAGATCCCGACCGACGGTTCTACAATAGCAGTAGGATTTATTATGTATGGAGATATAATCTTGGAAAAGTTACCCCTAGACACTTGTACGACCGGAGTTGAAGGAATATACATCAACACAAAGAAAAGAAAGACTTATGAAGATGCAACCAAAGAATTTACACTCGTGTTTAAAAAGAAAGATGGGAACTGCTTTGAAATGGACATTGGGTTTTGTTACAGTTTGATTCTCAAAGAGCAAGCTACTATTCGTCGTTATGCTCCTAGTGGAGTCAATTGTCCAAATGAATGGACTAGTGAAGCTGAATTGGAAGCGCCTTAGTAGTCTACACAAGATTTACTGGGTTTGTAGGATTGGCTCTTCTGATGAAAAAGATGAATCAACTAAATAAAACCATGTTGACATATTATTACCTTATTTACAACCCTAGCATAATTGGTTCTAGATTCCAAAGAGAACCTATTCTCGGATGAAATATTAGTTCGATATTATATCAACTCAGATATACTTTTCACGTGCCATAAATATCGATTGTATGATTTCCATGACACTTCGCTGCGGTGGTTAGGTTAGGTTAGGTTACGATCTACTTAGTTTAAGTTATGGTAATAACAAACAAGATAACATAAAACACATTTTGAAAATTTTTAAAGGGATAAATTTACAAAGACGTCAATTAATTTTTTTTTGTCATAAGTTCTTGAACTAAACAGAACTTCTAACCGTTTCTAAACAACGCAGCTCACTGCACTGTAAAAGAGAAGTTTACGGTTCTCTATTTTAACCATAGAACGGTATGCCCTCATAAATATTACGACGGCAAATAGTTCTTTGGGAACAAAATGTACATTTCGGCTCTGACTGTACTGTCCGCCCTAGTAAACTTCCCCCACCCGCCAAGGAGTTCAGTGTCGCATGTTGTGAGGAATTTGTTGATCAGACAAGCATTGAACAAGTTTGCAATACGTTTAACGAATATTATGTAAATGTAGGTACCAACCTAGCCCGCGCTGTCCCGCCGGTACTTGAGCCAGTGATCAATGATGATGACTATACGACTGACACTGTCTTCCAGCTGTTGCCTGTCACGGAGGCGGAACTTGGTAGTGTTGTTATGAGCATAAGGGGTGGGTCTGCTACTGGTGCTGACAAAATTCCAACAAAAATTATCCAAGATAACTTTATTGAACTGAAACAAACTCTTTTGCACATAATCAACAACAGCTTACTTTAAGGTAAATTAAAACCCAGTTTTGATTAAAATTAGTATTTATGACCCTTTGAATTCCGAAAAAATGGTACATATACGAGCGGTAAATTGTATTCGACGGTGTTTGGGCAACTCATGGGTTGGTCAGCCTATTTGGCGGGTGAATGAATGAGTGAATTGAGTGAATGAACTGATACTTCATTTTTGTATAAGTTTAATAGCGTTAGTCTTGTCAATTATATTTATTTTTAATTATATTGCATACAAATTGAGTTGGTATTAGAATTGCAAAAAGATTAACCTACTATTAAAACATGTCTGGATATGGATAAGAAAAGAAATCAGGTATTTTTAGATTGTAAAAAGTGTTACCTGGTACCTACCTACTAAATGCACTTTAAAAACAATGTATTCTTTAGTAAGAAGCTTATCCAAGAGCTGAAAGTAAAATATCAAGGAACTTCAGAATTTAATGAATATTCACCGATTGACATGCCAATTTGGTGGAAGGAATCTCCAAGGGGGTAACATAAATGGAATGTCTACTTGCAGTATCCAAAGTCAATTGTATATTTGGTTTACATAAATTAAATGCTTATTCGTAGTATCTAAAGCTTATGGTGCATTATAGTGTATTTATAATGTGATAATTCAAGTATAATTTACCTTTTCTGCAGAACTCAACTGTTGACACCTTAACACACAAAATGCTTCGCAGAGTTAAAATAATTATCATATCCGAAAAATAATCACATTTATGAGTTTTGATTGATTAATACAGTATCTTGAGCTTAACTTATTCAAACGACCAATATCTCAAATTAAAGCCTATAACTTACTGATTATTTTGAGTAAAAACAGAAAAACAACATAAACAACTAGTAAGTTTTCAGGAAAATGTTTTTATTTCTTGTACTTAATATAATTTATGCATTTGTATTTGCCGGTGACAGAGAGAGAGAGTAGGGGGTTTCAATTGAACCTAGTGGGGTTAGCACAATGCCCATTGGTGAACTTGGCAGAAGGATATTTTTGCGAAGTTTTAGCGTCGCATCGGGACGCTTGGCCAGTCTGTCGGTTGCCTGGTTTACCTAACACATGTCACTTTGACATAATTCATTTTTTCTGCCATTGCGGCTTTCCCTCTTATAGTTTTCATTCTCTATTATTGCCACTCGGATTAGTCCGTGGCCCCTTTATACAGTACTCATAACATTTTCACCTCTTTAAATTAAATGTCTACCGCGGTGATAGTTTAGATGATATGATGATAAACATTATGTTACGTATCTTTTGTTTACCTTTATATTGGCCTATCATCTTGCAAATACTGTCATGGTGACCAATTAACCCATAATGCCCATATGTTAAATTTATAAAAGTTTGAATTCACGTACAAGGTAAAATGCCTGTTGTGTGGTTTTGTACCTTCTCCAAGTTGTTGGTTAATATGACTGTGCTAAATTGTGCTGATCGCTTCAGCCGTTTAGGAGGAGTATTTGTAAAACAGAAGCAGAAGTGTAGTATAAGAGCCCCACTCAGAGGCCATCCTGGGCTAGAGCTAAACTAATAGGTGTGGCAGATATCAGAATTGTTTAGCAACCAATCCCTTAAGTTTATCTGTATTGAACATTCCACAGTATACAATAGTACTATACAACAAAAAAATATATTTCCGTACAATTCAACTAAATATTTTGATTTTATTGTGAAATGGAACTCCATGGGTCTTTCTTAAGAAAAAAGGCTAATCTGATCTTCTCTGAAATTTTTAAAGCTACAATCTTTCACAAAGAAACCGCAAACAATCAGAAACAGAAACTTTCTTACAAGATTTGAGGTAAAGCACCCAATTAAAAGTTGTTAGTCCTTAAGAAAGGGCAAACGTTTATTAACAATAGTCTTGGAGGGTAAGTAGTTTATATATTTTAATGAGACCAGTGGGTTTTATCTAGGTTCTTCTGAAGCTATTATGTAACTAAAGTTAGCACGTAATCATAAACCGGCGGCACCGTTGATTTTATTTGGTTGGAAAGCCTAAACGCTCGGTCTTCTGGTACTAATAATAATATTGATAAATCCTGGAGTTCACCCCGTGGTCGAAAACTCGAACAAAAATATGTATTGTGCAAACTTCTCTATTTTTACCCCACGCTTTAAATAAAACATGTAATTGGAATTTCTTCCATTTGTTTAATTTTCTGTTTTAATAATAATAATAATAAGCCAGCTAGTTAGATAAAAAATTCAAAGAACGTCTCAAAAAGATTTACTATTAAGTACATGTCCGTAGGTATAAAAACAATTTGTGGTGAGATATAAAATATGCTAATGTTTAAATCACGGAATACTATATTGGTTTATTATTTTTTATACAGTTATTGAAAACAAACTTTAACAATGACTTATCGGATAAATGTGTACTGTATATTATTTACCAATATAAACATTAAATTTGTGCAATATCATTGCACGGTATAAAACCGGTCTCACTCGAATGGGAGGCAGGTATTTATTAGCAATATAACCACCTGTGTATGGTAATCCTGTAATATGCCAACCCTCAGGCTAATCCTACAGTGGCCTTTATACTGGCCAATAAAGGTTGCACCTTTACCCAACTGAATAAAATGTGTCTGAAGAAAGCGATTGACATACAAGTTTTAAGATTTACTTTCAATTAATAAAGGACGATAGAATGCATCGATCTAATGTTATGTGCCAGTTTCAATATTTTTTTTAAAGTCTTGTATATTCAATATAAAGTTTATCTTTTACTATAAATGCCAATCCATCTTTGATAAATCTTTTTGTACAACTCCTTTACCGTCTTTCTCAACCGACATTTACGATTGAGGTGTCTTTAAAAGCTTATATTGTTGCTCGGTGACAAATCGTTGCCAACAAGTTCATTTTCTTAAGGGCCTTTGCTTTATTTCTAGAGCAATAAACCGATCCTTTACCATTACCGATCCCGGTGCTGCTGGCTAACCAGGTTTCAATGTGAATTGTAAATTATCGGCATATTACCTTCAGTTAATCTTTTTGCAATAGTGTGTAAAGTTTTGTAATACTACATCTTCTTGTAGCTACAAGCATTTAACAATGTTATGAGGTAATCTTTTAAAAGTAATAGGACAAATGCATTATTCGTTATTCCTCATAGACGAGCTTAGATGGAACCATACAAACGCACAATTTGCGCACGGGCCCACTCGTTATGTCCATGGATATAGAGTGAATCGGTTTTAGACTTGAGAACTACTTCATTAGTACCTTGCCAAACATAAACAAATGCTGTCTTACAAATGTTGTTGTTATGTTAGTATACATCCATCCATCCATATAACCTAAATGATATGTTCAATATGTTATTTTTAGACAGAATATGCCCTTGGTATATTATAAATAATATAGGCCTAATGTTGTGCGGACTCGATCCTTTTGTATAAGTGTTCCAGATCAGGTTATGCATGTAACGAATAAACTAAGTGTAGACCTACTCAATCACTGGTTGGTTGGTTGGTTGGTACAATCTAATATTTCACCCCGCTGATTGCTGCTACATATTACCAACATCAACAGACCAGAGCGATGCAATGCAATCAAGTTGGCTGCGATCTGAGTAACTAAATCAATTACGTTGTTTTGACTTCAGTACAAAGCGTGGTTATGTTTTGACTTGACCTAATTCTAATTTAATTTAAAAGCTTTTAACATTTTCAGATTAATTTTTAAGGAAATTGTCAAATTTTTTTGAAATAAATAAATATTTTGATCCAACAAAAACCTATATTAGTTATAAGACATTTATAAAATAAGTTTTTAACACTTTTGTTACTTCATTACAAATGTCGTTCAACTAAGTTTAAGTACTTACAGAAAACGAACAGCTTCAAAAAATAATTACTATGTTAAACCATTCCACTTCTCACACACTTACCAGTTTTCATATTACTAAAATAACTACTGTGATTTATGGATTGGAACTGCATGAAGTGAACTATATCGAAGAAGATTCATAAAACATAAATAAAAAAAAGAGATGTTGATGTTATCAGATTGATTTTGAGTAGACAGGTACACATCACGAACAGGTACTGCAGTATTG